TAAGTACTGACATGGATGTTTTAGCTTTTAACATACTGTAGAATTCAAATTATAGTAATTTCTACCTTTGAATGTATGTTTCATAAATCAGGAAAACATTTAAATAATTTTAAATAATGTACCTTTTTTTTGGACTTTTTACAGCACTATTGGCTCTTTTTTTTTTTTTTTTAAAGAAAAGCAACTATGAGAGGGGGGGGAGAGGCATGCGGCAAAGGACCACAGGTCGGAATCGAACCCTGGTCGGCCGCGTCGAGGACTAAGGCCCCCGTACTTGGGTCATGCGCACTAAACCCTGCACCACCAAAGCACATTTCAAAACATTCCCAGTTTTAATCTTATCCTCATCTTTAAAACTGTATTATTTAATATCGGCCGACTCCCCTTATGGATCTGATCGATGTTAAAAGTCAATATTCTGTGAACCCTTTGTCTTTACGTCTCTGACAGAGCTTTACCTTTACTTAAAAACTTCACCTAATAATCTTTGTTTTGGTTTGCAGTTTTTGGGTCCCAATTATCAAAAACCACGATCAGGTTGAACCAAGAAGTTCCTCCTTGGTTCTTTATCCAGGTCTGGTTTCGCTCTCAGAGTTCCTCAGACTTTGACAGACTCGGACAAATTGAAATTTCGATGCACACAGCTTACCAACAGTGACTGAGCAGCGGCTTAGCAGTGAAATGAACTTTTCCATTTATAAAGTGCAGCAGTGATCAAAATGGAAGTTTCAGAGCAGTGCAAAAATAGATAGATAGATAGATAGATAGATAGATAGATAGATAGATAGATAGATAGATAGATAGATAGATAGATAGATAGATAGATAGATAGATATGGTGCAAAATGCAGTAAAAACACTGAGTTCAGTTCTATTTATAGGGATTTGAAGATTCGCCATATAGTGCAAGTATGATATTTACAGTGTGATGCAGATTCACAATTTGCGACTTGATTAGAGTTAAGATTACAGATTACAACCTGTGCTCTTTCAGATTATCCATTAAAGCATTATCAGTTCCCAGAACAAGAGAGAGATATTCCTTCCTTTCTAATCCTTTATAACTGGGCCAAATCAGAAGCCAGCTTCAGTTTCATAAACTTTTATAGTCTGCAGAGCTGATGGAAACCCAACTGGGTAAATGTCTGTTACTCAACTGTCCAGGATCTCATAAAAGCTGTTAAAATGGTTTACATTTTGAAAAAGTAAATATGTAAAAACCTTTTGAGTCCGAGAGACCTCAGAGAGAACAGAGATAAACACAGTGGTTGGCTGAATAAGCCATGCTTTATAAACAGGGGAGGTGAAAGGCTGAATGAAACGGTTTCAGAGGATTGATTGGCTGAATGCTGCTCTTGTAGTTCCAGCTTTACAGCCTTAAACAGCAGCAGCAACACCTAAAGTTCTCACTGGTGCTTTGACTGGTGATCTGGTTTATGCTCAACTGAAGCACACTGCAAAAAACAATCTTGAAATTAGCAAAAATGTCCAAAATTAAGTGTATTTACCATTAATATGAGTTGGTAAATAAGATGATTTGCCAATGGAATGATTATTTTTACTCTTAAAATAAGATAATTAGATAATATGCACTTGAAATAAGACAAGGAAATTGTTTATTCTTAATTGTAAATATAAATTGTCTTGGTCCTTTGGCAAAGTGACTCTGACTCAATTACCTCCTCGATTCAAGAACAAAATGCACTATTGTAAGAAAAAATGACTGACAATTTTTCATATGGCTGATAAAGGCAGCTGATGTGTTTATGGTTCAGTTTGATTCTTCACGCTGTTCTAGTGCTTCAGTTTATTCTACAGCGATGGTTCCATAACCTTGTATCTAAGCTGAACTCTTTTGGGTTTTGTTTATTCACGAACAGACCAGAATCCATATTTTCCCGCTTTGGCCTCAACCATTAGAGAACCAGAAAGGGTTCGGCCTATCACGTTGCTGTATTCTGGCTTTAGGCGGGACTTACAGTTGTGAAGAAAGCAAGAGCTGCCGAGCCCGCAGCCGAACCAAAATAAACATGTCAGCGCAGGAGGATGCAGTAGGAGCTGCTGTTTGTCCAAATCCATGATTTCATGTTTGAAAGAGGAACAGAAAGAAGCACTTTGTGCACTTCTGGAAAGCAAACATGTTTGTTTTTACCTCCTGACCTGGTTGGGAGGTACTAGGTGTCTGTTTTGCACAATCAGCTTGGGAAGTTCTGCTGAGCTTCCATTCTTACCATTGTGAGCAGGATGGTTCCCAACCTGCCAGCTTTTAAAGACCCAAAGAAAAGAAAGGAATGGGATAGAATATGTCTTTATTTATATCCAGGTGCTCAGCAGCATCTATACACCAAAAACAAGTAACCATAAAGATAAAAGAGAGACTGTGCAATAAGCTAAAAGAAAATTTGAGAAATAAGAGGCATAATAGGAGAAAAATCGGATGCATTATCATCGAAATATGCATAATTAAGATAATCTGAATTTATTAAAATGAGAAAATAAACACCAGATCATCAAATGACCTAAACCTAAACCTAATCTTTGGATTCCGGACAGTTGGCCTTCAGAAGATGCTTTCCTTTTAGAAAATAATGACTTCTTAGAAATAACCTGGTTGTTTTGAAGAATAATTTAATGTTTTTTAATTTTAAGACTCCCACTTAACTTGATCCTTTCTCTACGATGAGGCGATTCCGGATCATGAATTGGACCCTGTCTCTGTGGAAAAAAAGAGCCAGCTTCCTGGAACAGCTGGAGTCTGAAGGAAGTCTGACTGAGAGCTACAGTAACCTTTCATTCACAGACTAAACATGAGTTTTCCTCCCCGACTCCACAAAAACACAAACCTTTCTCTGGTGTCTGCTAGAGTGAACAAAGGTCCCAAACCTGCTTTATTCCACAGGAATGAAGTAGTGCCTGCAAACACCTCCAATCCAACCCCCTGATACTTTAGTCTCTGTACCTTACAAGGACTTTAGATTCGGTGAAAGTAACTTTTTCAGAAACCTTCATGATTTAGGATTTAAGGCTTTTTCTTAGCTGTTATGAACAAAAACATCTGCTAATAAAATCCTTTAAATGTGAATCGTAAAGTTTTATTAGTTAGATCAGTATTTAATCGTGTATTTGAAAAGCTACTAATGTATACAGAGTTTTTCCCTTGTTCCTTTTTAAATTACATAAGTGAAACCCTGAGGCATTGCGGCTCCAGCGTGGGGTGTTTGGGTCATAAACTGTATCGGTTAGATTGGTCCATCAGGGGCCCGTTCAGTCCAACTCAGTCAATAATCTTTGCTCAACATGAGCTCCTGACTAAAATTCAAAAAAAATAAAATAAAATAAATAAATATATATATATATATATT